GTCACAACATTGAGACCAAATGTCAAAGATCCCAACTTTTGCATAGTTTCTCTCTCGAGCTTTTGATTTGGCTAAATATTAGTTAACAAGTAACTAAGAGATATTATTTGCAAAATTCAGTCAAGTTCAAATTTTTCAAATATATGGCTTTTTTCCACTTCCAGTGCTAGCCCTACAACTGGAAGAATGGGGGGAAGGAGAAGAAAGTTGCCTTCTGTTCAGGTCCATGAATCATCAGCAGAATGATTAAATTCCAGTGGTTGGAATCTTAACTTGGCATCTTAGCTTGGCATCTTAGCTATTTGTATTGGAATATGGAGCATGAAGGTCAAAGGTGTGTTTTGACATTGACTATCAGACAATAACTGTGAAACAGGCCAGCTTGCAGTAGAATAATTGCAAAAAATCAGCTCCCGCAATAATATTTTTAAAGAACTGTTTTTCGAAGTGTACCCTTCAGGATATGTGCCATCTGCCAGAAGAAACATTTCTATTACAACTAGAACTGTTTCCTGTCCCAGGTGAAGTGGTTTTTATGATAAGTAGTTGGAAAAACATACAGCACTATTAAACCCAGGGACAAGTAACTCCAGACCACGCTGAAGTTCTCAGACCTGAAAACTTATTATAGTGTTATAGTTTAATAAAAACAGCAGGAGAACAAAACCAAAACAAAACAAATTTTGCACAGGACCTCTGAAGATGTCTAGGAGATCTGAATGCCAAATTCCCATTAGATCTTAGTCCCAAGTTCTCCATCCCTCAGGGCATCTGATCACAAGCCTTTGTGCATATCTTCAGTCAGACACGCACTAGTATTGCCAAAACACCTGGCTTGCTTCCAGTTTTAGGACACCAGCACCAATACAAAGCAGGTGTGCCAGCTGGCAGGACATGCTGAGCATTGAAATGTGGTAACATTGGCAAGTACCCCAAAGTGGTGAATGGGTGTAATCCACACTGGAACCTCATTTTACTGATCATACTGATAAAGATCCTGACACCTACATATCCACTGGTAACAAGATAATGTGATGGCTATATGGTGGCTCGTGGAGGTGACTGGGAAGAGGTTTTAGCCTAATTTTTGGCTACTGCATATAAGATTTCCAATATGAGGCTGCAAAACCTTCCATGTTGAATATGGTTGTTTGGGTCTAGAAATTTTACCTCTTGAACAAAAGCACAAAGAAGAGTAATATAAAACCACCATAAACTTACAGTTCCACATATTCCTGCCAGGAGGGAGATATGACTTCATTTAGGTAATAAGATTCAGATGAACAAGTTACTTACAATGAGCCGCCTTTTGCCTTCAAAATATTCCAGAAGGTTGGTTGCTGATTTCCTGGGGGGCTGTAGGAAAGGCTTCTTATTGGGCTTGGGAAAATCCTCATTCTCAGTCCTGCTCCCCTTCTTGTTCTTCTTGCTGCGGTCTTTGTCCTGCTTGCTCTTTTTCTCAGCTTTGTCCTTCTTGGACTGCTTTTCACTCTTCTGCTGCTTGTCAGGTCTGTCCTTCTTCTTCTTCTTCTCAGGTTTATCCATTCGCTCATGCTTCTTTGATTCTTTTCCTTTCTTTGGGGGAATATTTCCCACTGCAAACTGTTCCTCTAAATGGGAACTAGCAGGCTTGTTCGGGTCATATTTATCCTCATATTCATTACTCAGTATCTTTTCTTGGGCCTTCTTTTTTGGTGGTTTAGTCTTAATTGGTTTGTGTTGCCCTGGCGTGACATTCAGGTCCCTATGATTGTAGTCCTTTCTGTCTGTTCGGTTATCTTTAAATCTACCCATATTTGCCTTTGTATAGTGCACTGAGGGAGCCGTTGGGACTTCTGTGAAACTGTCATAGCGGGCAGCTTTGTTTGGTTTCCGTGTGGCTGCCTGTTGTTTCTCCGAGTGTCCGCGCTGACGGTCCCTACGGTTTGCTTTCCACGCAGGAGAGTAGAAGTCCTCAGAGGCTGTGACTCGTGGAGTGGTGGCATCAGGGGCTACTGGCAGCCTGTGGTACTCTGTGGTGGAATGTGACTTTGTGGTCCAGGTCCTCTGTGTGGTGGGGAGGGGTGTGGTTGTTGTAGACCGGCTTGCTGTTGTCACTGCACGGGTGGTGGCATGAGTAGTTGTGGTGGTGGGAGGGAGAGTAGTGGTCCTTACTGTAGGCAGAGGAGTGGCCACTGTGGTTGTCATTGGTTTCCTCACTGTTTTGGTCCTTATTGGCTGATTATTGCTCTTCCTTGGCTCCTCCTTCCTTGCTGACACCTGGGCATGTTCACCACCAGGGGTAGGCTGGGTGCTGCCCCCATTATTGCCTTCCTCAACCACTTGCCCCTCTACCCCAGCTGCTTTGCAAGTCTGGATGAAGCCCTTCTGCCTCATCTTCTCAATTTTTCTTATGGGGTTCTGATCAATGACTTCATACATGGCCTCTAGCCTGACTGGATAAGGATACCTTTCCTCCACCTGCAGAGTTTTCTTCAACAGTACCATGCCAAATTTCCCTTTCTCCAGTTTCAGAAAGCTCATGAGCTTAGGGATGAGGGCAGGATCTAGTGGCTGTTCCAGGATTTTTCCTTCATTGGTTATCCTTCTGACTTTTCCCCCTTCTTCCCCTTCTTCATGGAACAAGACAATCTGCTGGATGTGCCTCTCAGCCAGTTCACAGTAAACATCATTTTTCAGCAGGCTCATCATGAGCCGGTAGTAGCCCTCAGAGGCATGGGGGGCAGAAATAACCCACACCCGATTTTTCCCTGCAAAGCTGGCCAGGACATTGGGGGAACTTGACCCTGAAGGGAAACGTACCACTCGTGACTGTGAGGCAGAGGATATCCCTTCGTCCTTAATCATCTCAGACTTGGAGTATTTGGCTGCAGCTGTGAGTCTCTGTACCCATCTCATTCTGGTCCCCGTGCCCCTGGCCTGGGAACGTGCTTCCCCTTGCAGGAGATTGGCAGGTGGTTTTGGAGGTGTGGAAGAATCCCTCTTGGAGACAGGGTGTTGAGGATTTGGACTTGAATTCCTCAGGGATGCTCCAGACCTTCTCAGGACATTGCTTGAAGCCCTGTAAGCCAGGGGCACTTTCCTAACTCCATGGCTCCCTCTCTCTGCCAGCCTCTCTGCCTTCTCAGAGCCACACACTAGCCATGCTGCCCACAGCAGGGCTAAGCTGAGAGCTGGCCTCCAGTTCATTGTGCAATCTGTATAAGGAGGGGGAGGAGAAAAACAAAAAGTTAGGCGGTAACAGTATGATGATACCTTGCACAAGTGATAAAAAAAGCAAAGCATAGGCTGGCTGGTTTTTGTGATTTATAAGTGCTGATTACACCTCAGTCCTGCCCTACTGGCTTTGTACATTTTACAGTTATTTTTGGAAAAACACAATTTTATGAAAAAATTAGATCATCCTTCTGTAACATGATATTGTCTATCCAAAAGGACACTGTGATCTGCATCCTTCTCTCTCTCTGTCTCTCTCATGCTCTCACTATACACACATGCAAAGACACACAGAGAAAGGGTCCCGTACCTAGAGCAGAAAGCCAAGAAGTTGACTTGAAACTTACACTCTCAGGGAAGTTCCCCTTCCAGAGATGAGGTTTCACGTCTTTTTCCTTTAAAAGGAGACCATACAGCTTTGCTGCTGCTTAGTGATTTATCTTTGCACAGCCCAACAGGTTCCAGAGCCTGTCTTGTGTATCTTTTAACTCTCTTCTTCACCTTCTTGACAAGCAGGATGAGGTTAGTGGAAATTTCCTTTGTGATCTCTGCTTCTCCATTTACCTGCAGGTCTGGATTTTTGCTGTGCCGGTTACCCACAAAGGCAGGGATTTCATTTAAGGAAAGGGAACTCCTGGCTGCTCCAAGTCTCTCTGTTTTATACTTCCCTTCCCACTCCTTGCTTCCTCAGTCCCGTTTAGCTCCTTTGTTTCCAGAGAGGAAAGCACCAGCACTAATATATTTTCCAGGCTGAAGAAAAACACAGGAATGTGATGCTGAAAAAAAAGAAAGGACGCTTCCCTTTCCCCTTTCTCCACACTTTGACAAAAGCAAATTGTAAAACACTCGTCTTTTTTTCTTCTTGGCTGGCCGCGGTCCCAGAAATGTCAGGGCAACCCCAGCCCTGCTCCGAACCCGCCTCAGACAACGGTGGCCACTGGAAATGGGGGAAACTTCACTCAGGATTTAACAGCTCAGCAGAACCCGCCTCCTCCCCACTCTGACACAGGGAGGGAGGAGGAGGAAGGCTCAGGGGGCTGAAACACTGCACAGCATCACAGATCACTTCAGAGAGGTTGACTCCAGCCTTAACTCTTTCCTTCACGCATCCCAGCTCCCTGGTGTTCTCCAACCCCAGCTTTCTCTTTCCTCCCATTTAACGGACTCCAGTTGGATAAAAAATAGTCCTGTGAGAAGTGCATTTCTCCATCAGCATCAATAACAGCTCTGGTGTTTAAGAATTATTATTTTTTAACCTCATAATTTCTGCCTCCTGTTCCCCCTTTCCTTCTTTTTTATTGCTTTCTGGGAGTTCCTCAGGAAAATCCAATTTCCCTTCACTTTCCAACCAATTTCTCTTTCAGGTCTTTGTGTGTGTCAGTATATTCTTTCCTGCAAACATCATATGGGCATAGCTGTTTGTTAATTTGTAGTTTTTAAAGAGATCAGCTTGTTTACTATTGTACTGAAATTAGGGTCATATGTATTTCCCATGAATGTGCACCAGCAGTGAAAAAAAAAAAGAGAAAAGGTACAAAAATACCTACAGAGACAAGGCTAAAGGCAGGGTCATGTCCTTTGCTCTTCCTTCATGGTGTAAACGACACCATTCTATTGAGCTGACGTAAACTGGCACGGCTGTGCTGCCAACACCTGGTCTTTAACTGATTCACACTGGCTTCAAAGTGCGCCCTGCACCTTCAATGTAAAACACTGCTTAATTTTAGTTGATATGTAACACCTGAAAATATCCAAGACCTTAATAGTACTTTTACTGTTTTCCAGGGTTTTGCTTATTTACAGAGATGCCATTACATTTTTGTGATAACACACTGGATTTGACCTTTGTTATATTGGCTGAAAGTGAAGGTACACCTTCTACTTCCCTTGAAATCAATGTTTCAAAGAAAAAACCCTTCCTATTCTTTCTCTCTTTTCTTATTTTCTTCATTTTTACTCTAAGTCTTCTAATGCACTGATAAACATTAGTAGTGATTTCACCAATATGTGTCCACATTTTGGGTTTTGTGCTTAGTGGTTTGCCTGGGAGGTAGGGGAGGATGCTGAATGCCTGGGCTCACATTAACTTGAGGGAAAAAATGCTCAGCCTCTTCCAGCATATAATATCCTATCCTACATCCACTGGGAGGTAAGTGGACTGTACCTCATACAAGGATCACAAAACTGAGTTCTGTGGAGCAAGGGCGGGTAACATTTTCCACTTAATTTAGTGTCAGGTCTGCTCATTTATTAATCTTGACAAGGAAAAAATGTCTTTAAAAATTACACTGTTTCATTGTGACATTTTAAAGAAACTGTAATTAAAAATATGGATGTTATTTCTATGTTTCATCCAGTTTTATTACAAAGATTTAAAAAGAATTGACCTGAAGCCAAGTATTTAATTTGGGGTAAATTAATTTTAAAAATTAAATTACTTCAATTTTATTGGGCTTTGTAATAATTTGAAACCATACAGAGGCAAAACATCACTCATCTGCACAGGTCTAATGATGCCAAGGAAAACACGCTCAGTATATGATGACAGCAGAGGAAAGAAACAGATTTCCATACTAGCTTTGCTGTCTATTCTATCCAATTTGCTTTGCTTTCCCAACTTGACTAAAGAAGTAGCATGCTACAGAATCTAACAAAGTATCCAAGGGTGGCAGATCAAGGAAGAAGATAGATCTTAAGGCAGTTGTAGAGAGGGACTAGCACACAACAAGATATGGAACCACAGGGATTATTCTCAAGGCCAATGTTTGTCAGTATCTTTATCCAAGGTGAGGAATAAACTTGAAATGACTGCTGGAAATATTTGACATTAGAATCTCTTAGAAAGTAAATAAAAGTAAATGATTTATACAGGCCAACAAGGGACTCCTGGTAAAGTGAACATATATTTTAAAGGACCAATGCAAGGTCATGCAGCAAGAAGAAAAAATAAATGCATAAAGCATACTTAAGACAAAGAACAATATCCTAGAAGGCAGCTATTCAGTAAGAGACTTGAAGCTCACAGCATATAAGCCACTGGAAATAAGCTTTTGGTGTGATATTGCAGCAAGGAGAAAGCCTGGCAGCAGCCCAGTGAGAAGTTGGGAAGTCATATGTAGTATCAATAATGTGATTTATGCTGTGCACATAGGGTTTTTCAAAAGGATTGCAAAGGGTTCAAAAAGTGACCTGGTGGATGTATATGATCCTATTGAAAGGGAGGTAGGGAAATAACTATGTGGAAGGCACAGCCGCACATTGGACATGATCTTCTCACGCATACACAGGAAAGAGCTGTCTGCAAATAAATTGCTTTTTAAGTCAGCAGAGGAAGGCAGAAGGATGACCAATGATTAGGAATTAAATCTTGCTAAATGCAGACTTGAAGTAAATGCAATTACTTGAAAATTTTAATAATGATCTCAGTTAACCCCTGAATGTGGTGGTTTTCTGTGGCTTAGTCGCCAAATCAGGGCTCTAACAGACCTTCTTGGCTGGACTGGAAGTAATCACAAAAGGATGGAATAAAATCCCTAAGGACCCATCTACATGGAAAATCTGAGATCAAAATGGCACCCACCTCTGAAAAGTCCAACTCTCTGAAGGCTTATAGAAATTAATTCTGTAGTCCACTGAACTGAAATGAGCAGTTTGAGAAAGGTGGAATGCAATGTAAAAATCCTGTATTCCTCAGAGTGCTTTTAATAAGGAACTGAAAGTTAATGCTATAATCACAAAGGGAAAGGTCTGCTTAAGGATGAAGTACTGTGAGTCTTACTATACTCTTTTTTACGTATCAGACTTAAATATATGTGTCAAGGGATGTGCACACAACTACACTGTTTTAGCTGCTGAAGAACTAATAGGAAAGTCAACTACCTCCTGAACTAGGACTCTTTCTCAGTCCTACAAAACCCAGAGAAATAAGGCAGCAGCAAGAAAAGAACAACCAGAGGAGCAAATGGGAAAAACTTTCCTTTTAAATAGACTTCCAGGCAATTCTTCAGGGAGTGTGGAAGAAACTGCTTACAAGGAAGGTGGAAGGAGGCGAGGGGCTTAGGAAAACTGGCATCGCCTGCTTTGTACAGTGCTGGGAAGCTGGGAGCCAGATAAACAGGTGTAGGTTCCCCTGCTGATGCTGGTGGGGGGTTATTAGAGTAGAGAGCACCAGAGCCTGAATCCCATGAAGCCAGACATTGTTGATGCTCCAAGAAGGGACATGTTTCTTGAACCCCGCTGGCTCCTCGCTTTCCTGAGAGGGAAAGAGGCTATTATTAGTAATCTGACTCAGGTCATAACCCAGCCAGCAGCTGGGGAAATAACAACTAGTAGTGTAAACAGGGGAACTGTGCTGCAGCCCCCTGTATATAAGCAGGAAAGGGAGTCAGTACAGGGAGGCTTGCAAAAGCAGTGACCCGTAATAAAAAGAGCAGTGCCTGGTTAGTCAGATCAAGCTCCTAAAATAGGCGCTTTTGATAAATAGGTTGGCCTCATTTGAGTCTTCACTTTTAAAATATACATTTTTCCTCAAGAATGTTGCTTAGAAACGATGATGGAAATGTGACACTCAGGCTTTAAAAATAAATATTACAAACTTTAAGGTTAAATGTTTTAAACTGAGGCTAAGCTTTTTAGCTACTTGGTAGGGTTGCAGCCCCAAATGTTCAGGCTATAATTGAGATGCAGGGAAATTCTGATGTCTGGATGTTATTATTGGCCTGTGCTTGAGCTGACCTTGACTTTAGCACCTCTGCTTGTCTGGTTTACAGAGCTTCCTGGTGAGAGGAAGGCTCTCACATATACCCATTTTTTGTTCTACATCTGGTTGACATCTGGGATAGAAACATCAGCCAGGGAGAACAAAACCTTTTCTGGCCAGGATTGGCACAAGTTCTACATCAAACTGACTGATGCAACTGGTGCTATGTACACTAAGATGAAAGTGTAATACATGAGAGCAAATGAATACAAACATTGCCATCTGCCGGCCTTGAAAACGGTGTTACCAAGCCACAGGCAGGTGGGACTGATATAACCACTGCAGTGTACTGCAAGTGGTCTCTCATGATACAGCTGTTGAGGTGTAGCATTCAGAAAGCCGCAGAAATAGTCTTGGAATAATTATAAACAGACAGTTACAGAAATAGTTCATGAGATGAAAAGGAAAATGAGACTTCATTAGCTCCAATTATCAGCACATCCCTCTCTTACAGTGTATAACCCCACTGGGAAGCTGTACTACAATCATCTCATCATGCTGATGTTGAAAACTGTCTCGTGAAGTGCCATGAGTTACCACTCCCAAATCACATGCCTGCATAGCTAAATGAATTTGGCCACAGCAAAAAGTCACCAGCTGCAAGGGCTTGGATTCTCATCTCACTTTCTCACCTCTGCAGCAGAGGGCTTTATCAGGTCTGAACACTGATCTGTGCCACGTCCTTTCTCTAGTATGCTTTCTTTGTCCTTCTCCCTTTGTCTGGGGGACTGCCAGCTGATGTTGAGCCTTTCTGAACAAGAGAGGGAATTGTCTCCTGGCTCTTGTGGCCCCACTTTGTGGTACAAAGCAGATTTAAGCAGGATGGAAGTTGGTGCTTATGCAACTTCTCTCTTTGCACAAATACTAAGACTTGGTTTCTTAATGCAGAGCTCCCAGGTCTGATCTCTTTGACAGCTGTTTTGTCCAAATGCAATCACTTATGGCTTTGCACACTTGGAATAAGATCAAGTAGAAATTGTCTTGCAATACAATCAACTCATTCACTTACCAGGGAAGACTCATCTCTCCTCTCCACTGGTAGAGGAACTTCAGTGAGATTCTGCCAGAAAACAGAGCCCACTGATTCAGTGGGGATTGTTCCTTACATATTTGTGGGCCTCATTATCTATCCTAAAATATCCTGGCTTACAAATCTTTTCTTGCACCCTGTAATTTAAATTAAAAAAACGTTGGTTTGTTTGTTTAGGTTTTTTTTTCAAAGACTTGTTTTGATTATGAAATTGAAGGGGTAGGAATGGAGGAGGATCATGTTTAAAAACCAGATTGTGCTACAGTTCAGCAGTAGAAGAGTATTCCAAAACAGGGCTGTGCACAGTGATTACTGTCGGTGCCTACGTGTCAGAATGCTTTAGGGATGAATATAAAAAATTACTAGTTACATGGCTGCACACATTCTTGTTTAACATTCATTAGTAATCAATGGAGAACATTCAAATTCTCTGTTGGTTTTAAGTCAGAAAAGCAATTAAGCATATACTGAAATACCACCTCACTTTGCTGCTTGCACAGCTCTGTGGAGGGAAGTCAAGGCAAGGCAAGCCAAAAGACTGAGGTAGAATGAGAATTTAACATTTATGTCCCTTTACTTCAGGTCAGACTGAAGATAGTTTGAGCCTGAAAGTGACAGCAGGAAATGTCATGTGCAGATAACATAGCACTCTTTTTGTCAGGCTGTTTATGCTCACTTGTAAACACTCACAGCACTTGTCTTTATTTGTATGCTATCAGGCAATTACAGCATTTAATCTTCAGTGGAGTCACTCTTTTTCTTTCATGTGAACAGGCACTCTTATGTCTCACTCAGTGGCAACCTTTGGCTCTCCCTTGTCTCCCTTGGCCTGAACTAGATGAACTAGATCTTCTCTGCCAGACACTTTTGGAATCTTTCCTTGGTGGGTGGCGGGGGAGGGGGGCACCCATTGTAGTGGGTGCTCTCTCAAGTGCTCCACAGGTCAGATGTCTGTAAGTGGGGTCATAAAACTGGGGAAAAGGAGTACAAGTAGTTGGAAACCCAGGGCTCTTTAGTTCTTTCCTTGAACTAGTTTTCTGCACCAACCCAAACCTTGGAGAAGCACACTGGGAGACGGAG